CCATCCATCCATCCATCCATCCATCCATCCATCCATTCCTGCTGGCTAAAGACTCAAAGGGCCAAAGAGGGCCAGAGCAGGTCAGACCAGCCAGACCCCCCTGCCCTCTGGCCCCTGATCCCACCTGCCCTCCTCCCTCATGCCCACCCAGCAGGGACTTCCTCTGGGGTGGGGGGGGGGGGGGGGTTCAGGGGGGTGAACATGTAGGGTTTCTCCTGCTTTCCTGTTCCTGCGCTGATCTGCCAGACCCAGCTGCCCCGGCTCCTGGTAGCCATGAATAAAAGACATCTTGTCCTGTCGTGGCCGGGCTGCTCCAGTGGGCCTCCGACCAGCTTCTGAGCGGCTAGGACATGTTTTCCATTTAGCGGCCGGCATTGTGGAGAGGTCCTGAGTGAGTACATGGGTCTGACACCATGAATGCGAGAGCAGCAGTTTGCAGCTAATGCCTGTTGTGTGTCTGTGTGTGTGTGTGTCTGTGTGTGTGTCTGTGTGTGTGAGGGGGGGGGGGGCTGGCAGAGTGCAGGCAGGGAGGAGCTCAAAGCTGAAGCGATGCTCCATGGAGCGCGATGAAAGGAGAGCTACTCAGGGACAACACAAGCCACTCCAAGAAGCACTCAGCCTGAATTATGCAGCACCTCGGAGGAGGGAGAAGGAGGAGGAGGAGGAGGAGGAGGAGAAGGAGGGGTGAAGAAGAGGAAGAATTATGGGAAAGAGTGCGGGACGGATGATGGAGGGAAAGTGGAGGAGATGCAGAGGAAACAAAATGTCGGATGAAGGAGGAAGAAACGTGGGAGGGAAAGGCCTCGCGGAGCAATAACAAGTCACTCAGAGTGATGAAGAGGAGGGGAAAGGGTGGAGAAGAGCACAGAGGAGGCAGGAGAACCAGCCTGGTTCCTGCCCCCCTTCAGACTGGTTCCTGCTATCGTCTGTCGTCTGTAGCCAGCTGTGTTGCTATTACCTGTAACTGGATCTAAGGTCCATTAAATCTGGAGTTAGCAGTCTTCAGATGGGACCTCTGTATTTTGATCAGGTGAAAAACGTTGTGATTTCTGACGCCTGAATGCTTTGAAGCACTCCGGCCTTTGAACAAGTCCAGATGAAGTCCCTGAAAGTGGATTTTAAAGTCCAGATCAAGTTGCTAATATTCAAAAATGGCTTGAATTGTGGTGGAATAAGTGAGTCTGGCCGTGTCAGGCCTCTGTGTGAGGCTGCTGAAGCCTCAGTGAAAGAGGATAAAACAGTTTGCTCACACTCTGCTGAAAGAGGCAGCGTTTTATTACATCAGAGCGACTTCCCCCACTAACACTCTGGCCTGGTGGGGGTTAAAAGGGAGGAAATGTGATTTGGCGGATCCACAAATGGACTGTGTGCAGCATCAGAGGTGTAACTGGAGAGCAGAGAGGTCCAATCGGCAGCAGGGCGGGATGGACGGTCTGCAGTGAAAGCGGGATGCAAATTAACAAGATTATGTGGAGAAATGCAAAATAAGTCAGCTGAAAGTATGTAAATGGAGTCCAGACACAAACGGTTAGCTAGGCATCCGTTCTGTCCACCTGAGGTCACTTCAAGAAGTTCAGTTCACTGATTCTTCTTGTTCTTTTGTGGAACCTGTCAGTGTATAATCTTTGAGTGCAGACTGTAATTCACAAACCTCCAAACCTTTCGGACTCCTTTTCAGGGATGAGGCCCCTTTCGGGTCGTTTTCAGGAGCCGCGGGGTCAAAGGTTTCTGGAGAAACGATGAAAAAAAAGACAAACAACCTGCGAGCGCTGCAGCTCTGCTGCTTTTCCCAGAGAGACCCCAAACAAGAGAGACACTGAGCAATTATTACTGACCCAGTTTCAGCCGAGCTGAATGAGCTGCTTCAGAAACAACAAAGACAGGATCGGGACAATCATCCCACTTTCTGCTCGGCGCTGCAGCGCGGCGGTGCTAAAAAAAGGCTTTTAGATGAGATTCAGAGGCTTGAAGTTCCTCCTGAAAGTCTCACGTATGATGAGATACGTAAAGGCCTTCATGTGGGTGGTTGTGTTCAGTTAAAATCAGGTTTTAACTGTGACGAGTGACAGATGAAGTTTAAAGACCCTCTTCTTTAGTTTTGGTGGCGTTTCTTCCAGCGTTAAAAACGCAGATCTGGCCGTTGTGTTTACAGTGATTACACTGATTTCTTTTCCATTAACGATGTCTTTCAGGAGCAGACTCTACACAATCCGCCCCCGAAGAAATGAGCAACGGGAAATTGTGATGGTCCAACCCTCCTGGAAGGTCACCTCCAGGCCAAAAGCCTTTAAAGCTTATTTTTGGCTGCTCGCTGGATGCTTTTTTCTCCTTTCTGTAAGAGCAGACGTCATCCGGGAGCAGCCCGGGGCTGGAAACCGGAAAAACGAACAGCAGGCGTCTTGTTTAATGTTTTATTTGATTAACCACTTAAATGCTTCATACAAAGTCTGGATACACCATCAGGTTCTTCGACTCTCTGTAACGATACACTTTAATCTGGAAAACCCGTCGAAAACAGCTCGTCTTCCGGGATTTGCGCCGCAGACTTCAGGTTTTTTCGGGCTCGAGCGTGCGCCCCCCCCGGGACGCGGTGCGTTCAGGCGCACGCGTGGCCCGGAGCGCCCGGGCGCTGCTGGCTTTGTCACAGCAGAGATCTTCTCACTCATCGAACAAAAATCAGCATAAATGTCATCGGACCACACATCCGTTCATTTCAGTGCAAAGTGATTCAAATAGAAAACAGAATAAATCAGAAACAGCAGCTGAATGTGTGTCTTCATCACTCCTCCAAAAGTCATCGCCACATGGATAAACGCTAAGTCTACTATGAGTACCTCTCAGATATCATACAACTGTGATCTTAGTGCAATTTCACTTGTTCTACCTCACAACTTTTTCTCCCATTTCCTATAAAACGTGCACAGAGAAGGAGGTCTGCTCCCAAAATGCAGACAGTCCGTCAGCCGGCCTCTGAAAACTTTGGCTTCTCTCAGAATTGTTCCAGCTCTGGACCTTCTTCGTGGACTGTGGTCCTGCTTTCTTTTAGGCCTGTTTAGAGGGAGCTTCGGCTCTTTAAAGCGAGGGTCGGTCCAGAAGAGCAGCGGCCGGAGCGGCTGCCCGCCTCCCGGCCACGCGGGGCTCCTCCTGCTCGGTTTACGGATGCGTCAGGGAGACGCTGCTTCCTACATTCTTCTGGTCATCCGTATTGCAGTTTTTCTCACAGCTCTGTACAGTATTGCACAATTCAACTTATCCGCCGGAAGTTCCCATCTTAATCATAATCATAATCATCATCATCAACACAAAATTAAACTGTTGCCTGCAACCAGTGCTAAGCACCCGTTTTTTTATACACCTTTTGAAGCATTAGTTCCAAAATGCAGGTCTACAACCACAGAACCACAGCCCACCAGATGAGCCCCTTCTGGCCCCTGGACAGCTGAGGACCGGAGCTTAGGACCAGAGCTGAAGACCAGACCTGAGGACCGGAGTTTAGGACCATATCTGGGTACCGGAGCTGAGGACCAGAGCTGAGGACCAGGATCAGATCCTCCTCTCTGTTCCTCTGCTCTGTGTGATGGGGGTCCGGTTCTCAAGGCTCTGCTCTTAAAAGCAGAGGCCAGAAGTGAGCCGTCCTCTTTGCTCTGACTGACCTTTGTGCAAAAAATGCAGTAGAGTTCGTGCTTTTGCCAAATGAGAAGTCCAACTCTTCCTCCAAGCTTCACATTTAAAGGGACAGAGGAGAAATAACCAACTTCAGATGCATCAAACTTGTGCTTCAATGGCAGAACGTGGCTCCAGACCACTGTGTGCAGGGGACAGCTTCCGGGAGCAGGAGGTCTGAGGGGGCTTCACACAGACTGGAAAGCTGCTCCGGCGTCCACCGAAACTTCGTCCAGGATTTGAAGGCCAAAACGATGACGGGCGCATCGTTAGTAGCGTCTTTAGATGAAGAAAAGTCCCCTCCACAAACAGAAACTCCACTCACTCAAAGACTACAGTGCGGAGCCCAGAATGCTCCCACCACCAAGTCCAGGATGGGAGGAGGCCTGTCGGCGCTCTGGGGCTCGCAGGCCTCTGGAGACTCATCCAGGGGGGAGCGAGTGGCCTGAGGGAAGCAGAAAGCAGAGTCAGAACGGGCCTTTGGGTCGGAACCGCATCAGGAGCCTGCAGCTGTGGCAGGAAGCCTCAACCTCCCGAGAGCCAAAGCTTTTATTTCTGCTTCGTTCCAGATCTCTGGATCAGTAGGAGCCGATAAGTTCAATAGCTAAACTTTGAGCGCATTGCACGTGAAGCAGCTCTGACAAGGGGAAATGGTCACCTTTCCCTTCTGGGAGGACAGTCCAGGGGTAGAAGTCACTGCTCCTCGCAGCCCGCCGCTGGAAAAGCTTCTGCTTCCTGACTCTGGAACATGTACTGCGAAGGAGAGCAGACAGTCACAGCCCGTTCACACCTCCAGAAGCAAACACACAGAGGGTGGGGCTTAAACGTAAAGAGGGAGGGGCTTAAAGGCACAGAGGGTGGGGCCTAAACACACAGAGGGTGGGGCTTAAATGTACAGGGGGCGGGGCTTAAACGTAAGGAGGGTGGGGCTTAAACACACAGAGGGTGGGGCTGAAATACAGAAAGGGTGGGGCTTAATTGTGAAGGGGTGGGGCCTAAACATACAGAGGGTGGGGCTATAACATGCACAGGGTTGGGCTAAAAAATTACAGAGGGTGGGGCTTAGACTTGAAGAGGGTGGGGCTAATTTGACAGAGGGTGGGGCTCAATTATAAAGGGGGCGGGGCCTAGACATATAGCGGGTGTGACTTATAGCTGGACGTGGCTTGAATTTACAGAGGGTGGGGCTCAATTATCTAGAAGGTGTGGCTTGAACATACAGGGGAAGGGGCTTAAACATACAAAGGTGGAGCTAATTCCACTCTTTTTAGAGAGGGTGGTGCTTTAACATTAAGAAGGAGGGGCTTAATCGTACAGGGGGCGGGGCTTACTCATACACAAGCTTCCACACCCACCGATTTGAGGCTGGACTCCATCTCTGGGAAGCTCCACTCGGTCAGAGGCAGGTTCAGGCTGAAGGGCTGCAGAGAGAAGGAGGTGAGTGGCTGGCGAGCTCTACCTGCTCCACCCGCTACACCTGAATGTGGGCGTGTGGCTGCACTGACGTCCATGGCGGCGCTGGCGCCGGCCTCCACGCCGCCCTGCTGCTGCTGCTGCTGCTGCTGGCTCCTGAGCAGCAGCTGCTGCAGCTCCTCCAGGCTCATGTCCACGCTCTCCACCGCCTCCGCCGCCTCCACCCTAAACACACCAGCATCAGAGACCGGCCACCACCTCTGCCCTACCTCCATTTCTGCCTCCACCTCTCCTTCCATCTCTGCCTCCACCCTCCCTCCATTTCTGCCTCCACCTCTGCCTCCACCTCTGCCCTCCTCCACCTCCACCCAAGCCCTACCTCCACATCTGCACTCCCTCCCATTCTGCCCTCCTCCACCTCCACCTCTGCCTCCACCTTTGCCCTCCCTCCACCTCTACACTCCCTCCACCCCTGCCTTCCTCCACCTTTACCTCCACCCTCTTCCTCCATCTCTACCTCCACCTCCACGTCTGCCTCAACCTCTACCTCCACCCCTCCTTCCATCTCTGCCTCTACCTTTACCCTCCCTCCATTTCTGCCTCCATCTCCACCCTCCCACCACCTCAACCTAAGCCCTACCTCCACGTCTGCCCTCCTCCACCTCTTCCTCCACCTCCACCTCTTCCCTCCTCCACCTCCACCTAAGCCCTACCTCCACCTCTGCCTTCCCCCCACCTTTGCCTCCACCCTCCCTCCATTTCTGCCTCCACCTCCACCTCTTCCTCCAGCTCCACCTCTTCCCTCCTCCACCTCCTCCACCTCTACACTCCCTCCACCTCTGCCCTCCTCCACCTCCACCTAAGCCCTACCTCCAACTCTTCCCTCCTCCACCTCCACCTGTGCCCTCCTCCACCTGCGGGCGCTCACCTGTCGGGGCCGGCTCGCGGCCTCCTCCTCTCCACCATGGAGCCCCTCCCCTCCAGGACAGACTGCACCATGGCGACGGGGAGGACGGGAGGCTCCGAGGAGCAGACGTCACAGGTGGAGGCCAAGGCCGCCGCCGCCTCCGCCCCCCCGACGGCGCCCCCTTTGCCCCCCCCTCTCACTCCTGGGCTCACAGGCTCCTCCTTTATGAGCATCATGCACTTCCTGTGGGGAGTCAAGCACTGAGTCAAAGCTGTTTCTCATGATGTGGGACAGAGCTGGGGGGCGGGGGCGGGGGGGGGTTACCTGTTGTCCTCAGGCTGCATCTGGAGGGCCATGCTGGCCTGAGACATGTCAGTAACGTCCGATATGATTGGTCCTCCTGTCAGCCCACTGGCAGAACAGGAAGCAGTTTCATTGGATGGCTAAGGAGGAAGAGGAGGACACAGTAAGGCCATCATCTATCCATCCATTCATCATCCATCCATTATCCATCCATCCAACCATTCATCCATCCATTCATCAATCATCCATCCATCATCCATCCATCATCCATCCATCACCTGTCATCCATTCATCCATCCTCCATCCATCCATCCACCATCCATCCATCCATCCATCCATTCATCATCCATCCATCCATCCATCCATCCATCCATCCATCCATCCATCCATCCATCCATCCATCCATCCATCCATCCATCCATCCATCCATCCATCCATCCACAATGAAGTTCTTCTGACGTCTTAGCATTTGTAGTTTTTACACTTTGCACAGGAAAGTGGTTTGAGGTCCAGCCTGGAGGCCGTGTGTCAGCCCTGCACATCTGTCCCATCACATCTGTCCCATCACATCTGTCCCATCACAT